AAACAAAATATTGATCCGACGATGACTCATCAGCGTCAGAAAACTAATCCAACGGCAAATACGACACCTGACTCTGCAACCTCATTTCCTCGTAAAACATTTTAATAAACTTCTCCGCCTTCGAATCAATCCCTTCTTCCTCCTCTTCCTCCTCCGCTTCATAATCACACGGCGACGGCGGCGGCGAACGGCGATTCAATTTCAGGTGAACAATGGGGTTGTCATTGAAGGAGAATTGACGCTCTGCAGAATATGGGGGAAGAGGGGTTGGGGTTGGGTGAATGAGTCGCTTGATAAACCGCCACACGTGACGGAAATCCACCGGGAAGGAGCGACGGCAGCGGCGGTGGGTGTGAATTTTCCAGTAGCGTAGGAATTTCATTGCTCTGCGAGCAGCATCCCATTTAGTGCAGGACATTGATGGAGATGGAGAGGGAATATGATGTGAAGAAATGAAATTAAAGAAGGGGTTTATATAATGATCCAAAATGGGTTGAAATGATTGAAGGTGTGTGTGAAATTGTTGAATTCATGGGTTTGTAATTTCACAGAAGGGAACTTCAAGGCTGGAAGGTGAGTGTAAATCAACCTTTTTTTTTTTTTTTTTTTTTAATAATAGTAATTATTTTTATTATTATATCAATTTCAACTATAATTTTTTAATTTTATCAAATTTAATTCAAAAATTAAATAAATCTGACCATTTTTATTGATTTATGTCGTATATATATTTTATAATTTATTGAACATATAATTGAAATTATATAATAGTTAAAATTAATACACGAATATGATAATAATTCATATAATTAATTGTAAAATTAAGCTATTCTATAATAATAATAATTTATTGTTATTATTATTATTATTATTATTATGTCTTTGAATTTGCTAGGAAATTACTCCAACTTTGAAGACGTATTGAGAAATTTCCTTGGTTAATGTTGAGAAACTTCTAAGAAGTTTTCTCATACGGAAATTAAAATTTGAAAAAAAAAAAACATATATATTGAATATTGGTGTTTATTTTCTAGAATTTATGCAAAGGATAATGTATTATAATTGTGAATAATTCGTAGGCTTGATTTAATTTTTAAAATTATATGATTATTACATGTAACAATAACATGAATTCAAACACATGTAGAATGTTATTGTGCATGTTTTTTTTAAGATTTCATTCCTGCATCTGAAATTATTATTAAGTATCTATGTTTAGGATGATATGTCATGTCTCTATTGTATATGTATGTGATTTTAGCAATTATATGGAAACGATTAAGGATTCACCAATTAACCCTTAATCATAAACTCGACTCGATTGTCAGGTGTCTAAATAACTGTAGAACTGGAGTCCATAGTTGTACCTTGGAGTTGGTTGATCTTGAGACTTTTGATTATTGTTCATGCATGTGACTTAGTGGTTAGACATGGACGATTAGGAGTTCGTCAATTAACCCTTAATCGTAAACTTGACTCGATTGTCAGAGGATTGGATAACTATAGAACTGACCTATGATGTTTTATGTTGTATGATTGTACTCGGTAGGGATTACACGAAAGTTTGTTAGTTAATTTCCTTTTAGTGAACTTGTTGCAAGCGACAAGGATCCATAGCAATACCCTTGAGAGTTGATCGAATCTTAGAATGCATGAATCTTATGAGACTGGTACCGAGGTCGCGTGTCGAGGACTAAAATAAGTTTGTAAAAAATGTTTTGTTCTCCTCCCAATCAATATGGGATATCACCTTAAAAAGAAGAATATGTTTCACGTATTTA